TTCTTTCCTCTTTCTTTTCCTTTTCTCTTCTTTCTCTTTTCTTCCCTTTCTCTTTTCTCTCTCTTTCTCGTTCCCCTCCTTCTTCGTCTCTCTCTTAGCCAAAACGGCCATGGATGAATCGGTGGTGGTTCGTCTATGGCCACCTTATTTTCTCTCCTTTCTTCCTTCCTATTTCCCAAAACTCTTAATTTCCTCTAGATTGAAAAACCCCAAATCGAATTTTTTCTCAAAAAATTTCCAATTTGGTCGAACCCTAAGTTTTCATTTTTCTTCCATTTCCGAGTGTAATTAGTATAATTGACTTGAATCAAGTCAATTCAAACCCTTTAGGACTCGAAATTTTAAGAACCCCCAAATCAATTTTTGCTCAAAAATACTCAAGAACCCTAGGTTTTGATTGAAGCCATAACTAACTTTAATTAGCTCTTCTTTCAATTCTCTAACCTCAATTTCAAATCAAAATTAAAAATTCCCAAAATTTCAAAAAAATCGAACTATCGAATTTCACTTAAAAGGATGAAAAGAGTCGACTACCTCAATGGATTCGGGTTGAGGATGATGATGGAGAAGTGTTGCTTGCTTCAACAATTAGGTAAAAACAATTTTCTCTTTTATTTTTGGATTTTTTTTTTACTACTTGTCGGTTTAGGTTTCTTTGGTTTTTTCTTTCAATTTTTGACTCTTAATTTTCGGACTCAACTCCCCTTTTGCTACTCGATTTCCTTTTTTTTTTTTGTTATTTTTCTTCAATTTTGGGCTCTCCTCCCTTTTTTTTTTTTTTGTAAATTATATATATATATATATATATATATATATGAACGCTTGTGTTGGTTCCCCGATTATGATGGTGGGGGATTTTTTACGGAGTTGGTCAAGCGAGGGTTGGATGGGATTAGTTTTGTGTCTTTGCGCGGGGTGGTTGTGTTGGAATTGTGGGCTAAGGCGGTAGGGTGGTGCCACGGGAGTTACACCGGTATGGTGGTGGAGATCGATTTGGGTGATAAGGAAGGCTCGTTGGGATTTACATCAATAGGGTGGTCGGCTTGATTTTGTTGATTGGAGAGAAGATTGCAATGTAGGGACAAGTTGGGGTTGACGGAATGGCTTGGCGAGAGGGTGAGGTTATGGGTCTGTAGGGTGGTTGTAACGAGGAGTGCTCGAGATTGTTGACTATGGAGAGGAGGTGGGCGAGTGCAAGTTGAGGGATGATGATTGCTGCTGGAAATTGGGAGCTAAAGCGGGAACCAAATTGGTTCCCAAGGGAAGAGAATTATAGTAGCTGGAAACCAAAACGAGTTCCGGGCGAATTAGGGTGAATTGCTCGAGACTTTTTTACATGAGATGGAGGGGAATTGTCCCTCCATCTCTACCCCCTTTTTTTATGTAAAGATTGCAAATAATAATAAAAAAATTATTTTTGTCTATTTTACTTAATTAAAATTTTACTTTTATTAAGCATGAACTAAAAACAAAATAAAACCAAACAACGATAGAAATAAACTAAAGAAATGAAAAATGGATAAAAATTGGGGTATGACAAACTTTGTGAGAGAGTATCTCGGCTTTTTCATTTTTTGGCATTCTCGGAATCAATGAGATTGAAGCCTATTTCCTAGTATTTGTGTATGCAATTCAACAAGTTATAGTATGAGCACAGCGAAGCTGAAAAAAGCATTGTTGGCCCAATTCGAGGTTTTTTTAACCTAATTCGATGTCAAACGGGCCAATAAGCAAAACACATGGGCTATGCCCATGATGTAGGAGTGATTTTGGCAAAAAAAAAAAAAAAAAAAAAAAAAAAAAAAAAACAAAACATCATTTAGGCCCTTAAAATCATAATTTACAATTTTTTTAGAATTTTTTTCTTAATATTTTCATATTTTAGTGTTTGTTTCCTTTTCAAATTGCTTTAGGATTTTGACTAAAAATTTACTATTTATATATGACTTTGAGGCTAAAAAATGCCACTTTTGTTTGATTAATAAACTTTGTGAGAGAATATCTCGGCTTTTTCAATTTTTGACATTCTTGGAATCAACGAGATTGAAGCCTATTTTTCGAGTATTTGTGTATGCAACTCAACGAGGTTATAGTAGGTCGATATTTGGATTTCGGATCAATGCTATTTATCCTTTTCTTGTGAGTTTCTGCTACATCAAGGTGTCTAGTTCTTTTTGTGATTTTTCACAAATTGCATATTTTAAAAGGAGGCCGATTAATTGCATAATAGGCGGGGTGCGTTCAAAAAGAAAAATAAATTTCTAAAAGGCATGAAAATAATTTTTAATGCATCGAGTCCGTACATGCATGGACTACATTTACCGAGCATCGCTCACCCTTGTTTCTTGTGGTATAGGTGATAAAAACACTAAGTGATGATCGTCACCGAGGAGAAGTAAATGACGTCGTTGTGTGTGTTTGATAAATAATAGTGAGTGAAAAGACTTATCTTTTGTTTTATCATGTTTTGGACTCAAATACTTGGCATGTAAAGGATGGTATAACTTCCCTAAATATTAAATGGTATGTGTGAATGTTTAATTCCAGTTAAATGGATGTTTATAGTATCAATTAATGAGTAGGCTAGTTAAAAATAGATTAAGCGAATTAATGGACTAAGTAAGAAATTGAATTGGAGCCAATTGGAATTAATAAATTAAAGGTTAAATTGGTTCAATGGCTCAAGTGTAGTTGGCAAGAATAACTGGATTTTATTGATAAGGAACAATAGAGTTTAATGGTTCAAGGAATATATTGAATTTAATAGATAAGAATTAATTGGATTAAATGGACTAAATTTATTTGGCATCTTTTCAATTAATTGAAACCAATGTTCCTTAAACATTTAAAAAAAAAAAAAATGGTCTTCAAAGGTTTAATCCATGACTTAGTCCTCAATTAGGCTGAATTGAAGTTTTAATGGAATTAATTAATTGATTTTACAATCTAAAGAATGTTAATAAATTGAAGTATTAGTAAAATGAATTATAAGTTAACTAAATTAATGATTGATTAAATTAAGGTTAATGGAATATTTTCCAATTAAAATGAATATTTTATAATTAATTTGGTTTTTTAAGAGGAAATTTAATATTTTAGGTCAAATTGATTATTCCTTATATAAATAATGAATATTTTAAATAATTTGAAATTTAATAAAATTAATTGAGGAAAAAAAAAGAGAAAAATTAGTTTAATTTAATCCCAGGTATTATGTTTAAATATTTAAAATGAATTTTATAAATGTAAGTTTTTTACCATATTTTTAGATTTAATAAATGTATACATTTTATTAAGGGTATTGTGGAATGAATTTATTTTGAAAACAAAATTATACCTAATTTTTAATAAAGTATGGACCTAGTTAATTATACTTATTAAGCTTCCTCTATGAATAAAAAATAATTTAATAGTAAAATGAAATGTGGCTTGATGTCTCGCATTTGTTGTAATTGGAATGTCAGGCATCGTTGATAATATTTTTATACTTATTTAGATTCTAGGTCAAGAATGTTACAAGTTCGTAGCTTTATTTCAATGCAGTTATAAAAGTTACTCGTACATTTACACGCTGTAAAAGCGGGAGTACACGCACGTAGATGAGAATATGGAGTAACTTATAACTTAGTCCCTTGTGATTTAAAAAAAAAAAAATTATAACTAATTTATAACTTATTCCTTGTGATTTAAAAGAGGGAGTAAAATTATAACTTAGTCCCTTGTGATTTTTTCTTTTTTTTAAAAAAATATAACTAATTTATAACTTAGTCCTTGTGATTTAAAAGTGGGAGTAAATTATAACTTAGTCCTTGTGATTTAAAGGAATTAATTATTTAGTTTTGTGGTTTTAAGAATTATTATTAAATTTTTCTATTTTCAAAATCATTAATAACTTAGGTTTTTTTTTTTTTCAATTTCATGTTATTTTTAAAAATTTATATATTCTTCTTTTTTAGAAAATAGAAAAAATAAAAAGAAGTGGATTAGATAAGAAAGTTTCATTAGAAAAGGGATTATTTAATTATTTAATTATTTTTAGATTACATAAACCTTTTTTTTATCATCGTATACTGCATAAACTAATTAATTAGTTCTAATATACTGTAAAAACTAAGTTAACTATAACTCAACAATAAATGATGTAGTTTGGACTAAGCATTCTATCATAGTTTAAAAAATTGGTATACCAAGAAATTAACAGTATGTAATATTTTCTATGATTTATTAACCTTGGAAGACTTAGCCATATTATCATCTAAAATGTGAATCTTAGAAAAGGATGCAAGAAAAATAAGTTTTTTGTGAATGACATCAATCTGGAGGCACTTAAGAAACAGCAACTTGAACTAGTTTCCAAGATACCATTATCTTAAAAATAAAAAATATAAATTAAAAAAAATGAAAAAAAGGAACGATACATGTGAACCTCATATTGTACTTTGCAAGATCTTCTTTGCTGCTTCTTCAGTGGAGTGCTAGTTCTGATCTTGCAGTAAAGACACCACTATAATGTACAACACATTGAAGAATTGTGATGTAAAATATTTCAATTTAATTTGTCAAAACTTTGTTTTAAGTGAATTTGTTGGATTTTTTTCATTTCCTTCAGGCAACATGACACTGGAATTCTGATTAGTCCAATACTCGGAATCGGATGATAGTATAAAGCATGTACTTGAACAATGAAAAGTTAGCAGATGTCCTCCAACAATTTTCTCATATATATTTAATTAATTTTCATAATTGTATAGGTTTGTTTTCCTCTCTGTTGATCACAATTGAATGCAGTTAATATATAATTAAATGCTACATTATTAGACTAGCTTTGATAACTTTTCTAATTGGTAAATTAATATGTTCTTGATATGTCCAAGAAAATTGAACAAACTGAATGAGCCTTCTATGATTCATCTTCAAGACTTTGATCCTTCCTGAACTATGACATAGTTGAACAGTGCTCACTGTTTCTGCAGTTTTCTTGTGTAAATCCCTTTGGATTTTTACAATGCTAGTAGGGAGTAGTAGGCCATTGCTATTGGCATGGCAATAAGCATGCCAAATATTACCCTGAAACCAAAACAAACATAAAATATTCTCACGAAATTAGAGAAGAAAAAAAGAGTTGAGGGAAGAGGTGGAAGTTGAATATAGGAATGCTGTGAAGCATTGGTTACCCTGTGCTCAACGTATCTGGATGAACGTTGTACTCTTTTGCAAAGACGAATGGAACAATCCCTTGAGGAAGAGCTGCCTGCATTACGAAACACATTGTTTGACCCTGTATCCTAGTAATTGATGAAATGAAACAAATGTTATGCACCTGCACAATTGCCACTCTAAGCTCTGTGCCCTTTAGTCTAACGGCAATAGAAGTGACTGCCATTAGAGCAGGCCCCATGACGAACTTCATTGCCAAGGCAACCATTGCCATTCGGATTCCACACGCTATTATGCTGGGCCGCAATGCCATAAATAGACCTATTGATCAGTATTTGGATGGAATAAGTAGAAATTCCCGGTTAAGAAGAAGTAATTATGATTGGTTGTGTATTGATGATTTATAGTCATACCTAAGCTGAACATTGCCATACCAAGTCCTCCTGTTGACAGTATCCTTATGGATTTATCAACAATGTCCGGCAATTTCAGTCCCCACCTAAAACAGATAAAGGCCAACTAGTAACTTCGGTAATAACAGCAAGAAAAGCAAGATAGCTAGTCCCAAGGTAATTTAATGCGTCTGATATTTTTGCACATGTACCTGAAGTGTACGCTTGCCCAAATAAGAGCCACCAAGGTAGCATGAAAGTTTGGATTGCGCATTAGCTTCCTCCCCACTGTCAAAAGAACGAGCATGGCTTTGACTTTCCTCGTTCTTCTGCTTTGTACTTCCTCTCCTTCTTTGTGTTGTGCTTCTTGAACAGCCTCCTCTTGATCCCCTTAACATGTAAATGAAACCAAATGTCATGAAGGACTTCAAAAAATATACAGAAAAAAAAAAAGAAAAAGAAAAAAAAGCAATAGTAATAATAACACAGGCACATCATCTATGTATGAAATATCAATTAGACCTGCTAGCTAGGCTGCTATATTAATAAATATATAGCTTAGTCAACCACATATCAATTAGTATTTCCTGGAAAATGTTCATGGACTGGATGGATCTTGCTCCACATTTGTGTTTTGGGGACCCACTAATGTTATCTTCTACTCCAATATATTAATTAAAGTTGACTGAACAGGATTGAAATTGAATCACGTACTATTCAATATATTAGAGTTCAAAATAAGATTCTAGTTTCTATAGCTAGTGATCGATCTATCCATTTGGTACTACGGTTCATGCTTTGGATTAGTGTGTATATATATATATATATCCATGAAGAAACACAAACAAATACCTGTGGTTTCAGAAGATGGCGTCACAGCGGCTTCCTTGGTCGCATTGAGCTCAAACAGAAACAACAACAAATTGTACCAAATTAGGCTTTGCAAGCCAACTATCTGTGAAACAAGTGGCTCTGCCTCAGCCCCATACATAGCCCTCAAAAGCGGAATACCCAGGATCAAAGTGTTGGGCAATGTTGAGAGGGAGAGACCAGTGATGATCCAATTCAACCGTCCGCGAGAGCTGATTTTGGCGAGTGCCGTCAGTACTAAAAGGGCAAGTAGTTTTTGAAGAAAGTCGGCAAATATAAGTCTCAGGTTCATTTTGTAGGGATTGATACTAGAGATGACTTGAAATGATAATAATGGGATTGAAAATTTAGCAACAAACTTGTTTATGCCTGCACACTGATCTGGCGTAAAGAGCTTCCACCATTTCACAGAGATGTAGGCCAATATCATGGCAAAATATAATGGAACTGTGGCTGCCACCACATGATAGACATCTTCTGCAGAAATCATGGCGACCAGTGGTTCAAGGATTGTGCTATGTACTGCTTTAATGTTCTGTTCCAGTGACAAATCTCTTTTTATATGCTCTCTCTTGGTTGCTTTGTCAGACTATGAAAAGTTGGGTTAGCATCAACTGTTTTGATAGAAGCCTCGCTAAAAAGTCTTTTCTAATTCCCAGAATGACCTTAGCTTCTGCTTCTTTTACGCTAACAATGATTTATGTTTTTTTATTTTTATTTTTATTTCATTCCTGATTATTCTAGCCTTTTCCTAATTGCCAGTTTTGCGTATACCTCCTACAATTATAATATATATACTTGGTATTGCCTGTTGTGATGGTTAAGTATCATCTGTAGAAATATCGTCATGCAATTATGAGAATCTTTCTTGTAAATGAAAAGCAGGGTATTTTTGTCATATGAGTCAAAAGATAGATTCCTACTTCTCTCTTTGTCATGTCTTTAGGTCCTTTGGTTAATTGGTTCTTTAGGCAAAGAGGAGCTATATAGGCTGACACTAATTGTAACTCTAAATCTCATTCATTAGGCTTTAATTTTCAAAAACTTAATCTATAACAACAAAAGGAAGATTCATTTTATTTTTAGTCCGTTTTGACCGTTAATAAAGCTCGTTTAGGAGAGGTAACAGAAACATTTTTTAATTTTCCTGTCATTTAATACTGCACTAAAAAAATTCACTTTGGCCACATAAATAAGTCTAGAAAGTAGATGGTACGTGGCTAGCTATTCTTAGCTTATGATATTTCTTTCATATATATATATATATATATATATATATATATATATAGGCTTAGGAGGAGGAGGAGGAGGTGGAGGAATAAAGAAGTAAATTGCAAGGGAAGTAATTGAAGTACCATGTTTATAACAGCGGTAAGGAAGAATTTTGCTAAATTTGGTCAAAAGTGTGAGAATAAGTGTTGTGGGGAATTCACTTTTAAAAAATGTGAAATTTTGCCTAGAAGACCTATTGTCTCTTTCTTCAACTTGTCTTTGTTATCAGAAAATTCAATACTTCAGGTGCCTTCTTGTGCCATCTGTGACTGTCTTCCACGAAACAGGTGAAAATATTTGTTGGTGACTTGCTAGGAATTCCAAACGTTATACTTCGGCTTAAATGGTTGACAACAAGGATTATCTTATATATGCAGCTTTTGCTTAAAACCGAAAGTTTTACGTCCTAAAGCCCTTTTTTTTTTTTTTTTTTTAATTTCTTCATACTACTATATATATATAGAGAGGGAGAGAGAGAGAGAGCACCTTAGTATATATATAGAGAGGGAGAGAGAGAGAGAGAGAGAGAGCACCTTAGTAGACTCGTGCGAGCTTTGGCTGGAACAACTCCTTACACCCCTATGTAAAGTCTACGTACGTTAAGGTTATGCTGTTTGCTTTATCACTTTTGTCCCCTTGCTACTCGAGTTTAATTTCTGATTAACTGATAATTAAAAAGATAGCCAAGTACATGCCAATATTAATTACAATTATTCACTGCAATATAGGGGATAACTCTTTTTTCTTTCTTTTCTTTTTTTCAATTTCCTTTCATTATTTGCTTTCTTGAAATCCGGAGTGATTAGCTAGTGTTTCAAGTAATTATAATGCAGTAACGCATTTTAATATAATTGTTTATGTGTTTGTTAATTATTTCTTCTTTTATAAAGAGATTGTTCATTTTTCTATTTATATATATCATAAAATGTTTTTTTTATCAAAATTTTGAGTGAAATATTTTTAATTAAAATTTATTTTGTAAAGCATTGTCCAAATATAATTTAAGAACAAGAGAACTTTTAAAAAATATATAAACAAAATTGATATAATTTAATAATTAATAAAATTCTCAGTACGTGTGAAAAAAGTTAAAAGGAAATAATTTCTTAGAAACAACAGAAAGTATATTAATTGGATTGTACGATTGTCTTCCTATAAAAGAAGCTTTCAAGGTGTCGGCGCATACTTCGGCTACCCTTGCCAACAGAAAAGTATATACAATTATTAATTAATTCTAGCACTGTTCTGTAAACTGAATTAGGAGCTAGAAAAGCAGGTTAACATCACATAAATTATTACCACACAATTTGACTAACACAGCTTCTTGAATTGAAAAATCGTTCTACTCGATATATATATATATATGCTAATGAATGTTGTACTTGTTTTGTAGCTTTATTGAAAGGGCTGTGTTAACCAGCTTTTCCTAAAGCAATCAGATAAACTAATTAGTCAAGTAAAGCTGAGTACATGACATTCTTTTCCTCTTGATCACTACTAATTAATATATAATTTCATAACTAATACAGAACTAATGTCAAGGCATGCATGCAGCTGGTAGCTTAATGTCAAAAAATGGGCTATACAATTAAGTACTAATTAAAATAGTAAAATGTAACGAAACCAATTAAATGTTTTGCTTATTTATACTTTTTTTTCAAAAAAAAAAAAAAAATACAAGTGTTTTCCAGGTGATGATCAAATAGAAGATCAAAAATATCATTTATATATCGTTCAATAAAATAAAATAAAAAACAATACATAATAATTATGATTTCTTAATGGGTGATGCATTAATTGCAGTGATTATTATAATATATAAATATATATGCTATAGCAAGCTGATTACAATATATATATATAGTCGAATTAATTTATATAAAAAAATCTAACTAATTAATCGAGTGTCGAATATGTGTCTAAAACATCTCTAATACTCTCTTTATATTAAGATTTTTCTTTATAATAAAGAGGTTTAGCCTAAATTCTATCTCCAATGCTCTCTTTATCACAATCTTTATCTTTAAAATTAAGATACGGAGAGTCTTTGGCTCTCCAATACTAGATAGTCCAAATGACTCTTTATCTTATATTTCATTAATAAAAATTACTATTTCATGTGTCACTCCGCCTCTTCACCAATAATCTTTCGTGTTTTATGAATTTTGTCAAAATAAAGAGTTAAAGTAGAAAGTAGCATTGGCGAGAACATTGATCTTCAATCATATAATTAATGATGTTCTCTATTTATATTAAAAATGTTAACTAAAAATAAAGAACACCATATAAGATGCTCTAAGCTGTGTTTACATGATGCATGGAAGTGTGTGCATGTGTATTTATATAAATAGCTAGGGGCTGGGCATATATAATTGGTTCAGCACCCTTATTTGATTTAATTTCCTCTAATTCTCTATTGATTCAAGCAACTGATTAATTAAGGAGATGCGTGCATGGAAGGATTTGGTAAAAACAAAAAATTCTAATCATGCATGGCATATCGTTGATCTAAAAACATGGTTGATTATAAGCTATTTAAAGCAAGGATTTGTTAAAAACATATTCTTGTCTCAACTGTACGTACGTACTGGTAAATTAAAATGTATTAGGTAGGATTTAGGGGTGTGATTTTAGATAAAAGAGGGAGAGAGTGCTGAAAGGAAGTTAAGAAGATGGGTTGCATTTTGGCAATTAGGATTTAGGGTTGTGATTTTAGACATTGGTCAATCTTTGTTGCTCTGCCGAACTGTCAACGGCTAATAGAGAATGGTATTCCATTCTCTACGCTTCTAAATTTAGATCTCCCACGCTATTTTTTATACTATTTAAGCATGCTCACAGCCTCAAACTTATATGTTCTATTCATCAACCAAACCAAAGCTATGCGGATAGCTTAAAGATTCACCTAGGTTCAATTCTTTCTGGTCTATTTCGGTCTGAACCCATACAAGAAAATTTGCGAACCCACCGCAGCTCAACCGGTTCAACCGTAGACCTTGATCTATCGCGGACCTAGGTCCAATACTACTTTTGGTCATCACTTGTTAATATTCATTAAATACAAAGAAAATGGCAGTGGGTAAGGCCATGCTGATCTTCGTTTTTACTCTTGCAACCTTGATACCTAGCCTGTTGGCAGACATTGGCTTTTTCGACGATGTGTGGCAAAAACGAGCAGAGGAAGCTAAGAAGATGACCCTGGACGCCTACGTACCTGACCCAGAAGGAGCAACCGATGAGTTCAACGCCGAAGTTAACAAGTGATTAAATCCCCAAAATCATTTCAATTTTCTCCATTTATTCATTGATTGTCAGTGCACAATATCACATTTATTTTCTCTTTGAAAAACAACGCAACCTAGATAGGTTAGGATGTTACATACACTATGCATTATTAGTTTATATATATATGGCACATTTATGAAATCTTAAATAAATTAAATCAATTTGTCCGGATAACTATGTTTTTTTTTTAATTGGGTGGCAGATACCCTCTTTCAAATAATAGCAGCGTTGTGGAAGCTTTTGCTAACAGAAACATCACTCATTTGGACTTTGATGATGAGGAGGATTTTGAACAGTTCGCAAACGGCACTAGAAGGAACCTGAGGCAAGGGAAGAAAAAATACGTAGGTCCATGCCAGGCGACCAACCCAATTGACAGGTGCTGGAGATGCCGGAAGAACTGGAACAAAAACCGTAAGAGGCTAGCAAAATGTGCCCTTGGTTTCGGGCGTAGGACTACCGGAGGAATGGCCGGAAGGATATACGTTGTGACGGATAATTCGGACGACGACGTTTTGAACCCAAAACCAGGGACATTGCGCCATGCTGTGATCCAAAACGAGCCATTATGGATCATATTTTCAAAGAACATGAACATTAGGTTGTCGAAAGAGTTGATTATGACTAGCAATAAGACGATCGATGGGCGTGGGCACCATATACACATTGCTTATGGTGCTGGCATTACAATACAATTCATCCAGAACGTAATCATTCATGGAATTCGCATTCATCACATTGTTGCTACTAGCGGTGGCAATATTAGGGACTCTGTGGACCATTATGGGATCAGGACCAACAGCGATGGAGATGGAATTTCAATCTTTGGATCCACCAATGTTTGGATCGATCATGTTTCGATGTCTCGCTGCACCGATGGACTCATTGACGCAATTATGGGATCCACTGCAATAACCATTTCCAATTCCCATTTCACCCACCACAATGATGTAATTAAATTGTAGCTTAATTTCTTATGATTTATTTATTGATCATTTAGATGATGATTTGATATATATATATATATATATATATATATTGAAATAATGCAGGTCATCTTGTTGGGTGCAAGTGATAGCTACTCAGGCGATCAGCTCATGCAAGTCACAGTTGCATTCAACCATTTTGGTCAGGGGTTAGTACAGAGAATGCCAAGATGCAGATGGGGTTTCTTCCATGTTGTTAACAATGACTACACTCACTGGCGCATGTATGCTATTGGTGGTAGCAAACATCCTACCATTATCAGCCAGGGTAACCGCTTCATCGCACCACCAGAGCTTGCTCTAAAAGAGGTACACAAAACTATATATAGTACATTCGATACGTGCATATATATATATATATATATATATATTGATAGATACATACATACATCCTGCAGGTGACCAAGAGGGACTATGCAACGAAGGAGGAATGGAGTAAATGGACATGGAGATCAGAGAATGATCTTTTGATGAATGGAGCCTTCTTTGTTCAATCAGGGCAACCTAGAACCAAGAGACCGCACAGGAAGTTCATGATCAAAGCCAAACCCGGTTCGCTTGCTACAAGGATGACACGCTTTGCTGGGGCGCTTGATTGCAAGCCTGGTAGAAATTGTTAAAAATCAACTTTGATGATCATTTGTGGAAACTTAACTTAAACCACCAAGGACAAGTGAATAAGAACAATTTTAACTAATTTGTTGTTGTTATTCTTTTTTTTTCTTTTTTTCTTTTTGCTTCTGCTGCTGCTGCTTATTTGTGTTTTTTAGATTTGTTGGGAAGAAAAAAATTCACAATTGGAGAGCATGTGGGGAAACCAAAAATTTATTTTAAATATTTTTCTTTTATTTATTTATTTTTTTTTATTTTTTTTTTGTAGGCATTACAGTTAACCATTACTTTACTTAAAAAACTAAAAGAAATGAGGTAAAAAAACTAAAAGAAATGGGGCAAATGAACAACAAATACTATTCATTTACTGTGCCTTAGTTTACTATTCATAATGTTGCAATTTTGTAATTTTTTCTAATGATATTTTCATAATTTTTTTATAATTTCTTGGACATTCATTTTCAAATTTTATATTTCATTCCTCTTTTGTCTCTTATGTTTTCAAAATATATTTTTAAATCCTCATATTTTTAAAAATATTTTGACATCTCATGTTTTTAACTTAATCTATTTTTATCTCATATTTTTTAAAAATATATTTTTTGTTCTTCATGTCTTTAAAAGATGTTTTTGACCTCTTATGTTTTTAAATTTTAGAACAAAAATATATATCGGATTATATTTTTTATTAATTAAAATTAATCTCTTAAATTTTTTTTGTTTATTATAAAAATTCTCATCAAATTAAATTTTTTATTTTTTATAAAATTTTAGTTGTTGATAAATATAATTTATCTTTCTTTTTGTATAAATTTTTAATATGTTTTTTGATAAATAATAGAATTCATGTGTTTCTTTATCTTATTCTTGATATAATCAATTTTTTTTAAATAAAATTTTAAATTATTTTTATTGCATTCTTTTAACTTTAATATATTTCTTGCAACTTAAGTTTTTTAAATATATATTTTAATTTATATAGAGTATGATAATGATGTAATGATGTATACTTGAAAAGTATTGAGATCATTGATTTTATTAAAAATTAATTTTGCATTTACACATATGGCACCAACTATGTCCTATTATTTATTTTTAATATTCTAAATTTAATTTATTTTAAATAAAATAATATTTTAAGATAACCACCTAATAATTCAAATACATGCTTTTATACATAATATTATTGATCTGTTTTGTATGTGTGTGTCTATATGTCAAATGTACATATTTTTAAAAGCTTAAAAATATTCATTATTTAGTTTTTATACCAATTTTTATAGATTGTTGATATATTTCTCTGATTCAGCCTTATAAAAAAAATATTAAGATATTCTAAAAATTTTATATTTATATTATTATAGTTTTTTATTTAAAAATGAATCATGTTTTTTTTATAACAAAAATCTATGAAAAACATAAAGAAGCACGAATGATATACAAATTTTGATTAAAAATTTTATCTTTTACTTTTAATTTAATATATATTAGTAGGAAAAAAACTAAAGAACTGACATATTTACTATTCATTTGCTCGTTGTTTAAGATTTAGATTCACTATTCATTGTGTTGTTTGATTTTTCACCTCCAACCTTTTCGTTAATTTCTCTTTTGACACTCGATAGATTTGAGAGATTTCATTTTTACTCTTGACCTATTCTCTTTTTAATTTTATTTTTTAGCCTTTTTTTGTCATTTTCTTCTTTTTTTGTCGGATTGAGCATTTAATGCTCCTATCTTCTTTTGATGCTTTTTTCTTCTTATTTTTGGCAAATAAGCCAAAGTTACTTGCTATTCAAAAGTGAATATAAATTAGTCCCTCTTTCTTCGAGAAACAAATTAATTAGTCCATGTGGTTCAAAAACTAATATTTTTTTGTCATTTTTTTTATTTCAATGTTTTTTTATTTTTTATTTTAAGAAATAGAGAAAGAATAAAAATATTAAAAAAAAAGAAGAAATTTTATAAAATAAAAATAAATTATTCATGGTTATCACTGATTAAAAAAGTAAAATAATTTATTTTTTAAACCAAAAGACTTAATTAACTCGTTTCTTGAAATGGAATGAAAAAATTTATAATTTAATTTGCAATTCAAGAGTCTTTTTCAACATGGATGAAGAAATAAAATTTAGTGGAACCAATTTTGTAGTAATTTCTATTTCAATTTATTGACTTTAATATATTCCATAAAACTTAAATGTTTGTTTATACTATGATCATATATATATATATATATTAGTTTTATTGAAAATTAATTATGTATATGCTTACATAACACCATTAGTCCATTTGGCTCAAAAACTATTTTTTTATCCCTTTTGCCATTTCAATTTGTTTTAAGAAATAGAGAAAGAATAAAAATATGAAAAAATATGAAAAAACACATTTTTAAAAAATAAAAAATAAATTATTCATGATCAACAACACTAATTAAAAAAATTAAATAATTTATTTTTGAAACCAAAATAATTAATTCATTCTTTTTTCAAAACAAGAAGAACTAATTTATAATTTAATTTGCAATTCAAGAATCTCTTTCATAATGAATTAAGAAGTAAAATTTATGGGAACCAATTTTGTAGTAGTTTTTATTTGAATTTATATTCCATACAACTTAAATTATTTTTTTTGAAAAACATTATTTATACTATATACTCTGAATCTACTAAATATGATATATATATATATATATATATATATATATATATATATATATATATATATATATATATACGAGCATCATTGGTCCATTCGGTTCAAAAGCTAAAATTTTTATCCCTTTTACTATTTCAATGGTTTTATTTTATTTTTTTAGAAATAGAGAAAGAATAAAAAAAAAGTAAAAATATGAGAAAAAAATTTAAATAAAAAAATAAATTATTCTTGGTCCCACTAATTAAAAAAATTAAATAATTTATTTTTGAAACCAAAAGAATTAATTCATTCATTTTTCAAAATGAGATGAATTAATTTATAATTTAATTTGCAATTCAAGAATCTCTTTCATCATAAATTAAGAAGTAAAATTTATGAAAACCAATTTTGTAATAGTTTTCAATTGAATTTGCTGACTTTAATATATTCCATATAGCTTAGCTATTTTTTTTAATTGTTTATACTATATACTTTGAATCTACTGCGTATAATCATATATATAGTTTTGTTGAAAATTAATTTTGTATCTGCATACATAACACTAATTATTTGTTATTTATTCTTTTTTATGTTCTAAAATCAATATTTTTAAATAAAATAATTACAATATATATCATTAGTTTTGTTAAAAATTAATTATGTATCTACACACATAACACCAATTGTTTATTATTTGTTATTTATTCTTTTTTATGTTCTAAAATCAATATTTTTAAAATAAAATAATGAAAATTTATATCATTAATTTTGTGAGAAATTAATTATATATCCGCACACATAACACCAATTGTTTATTAGTTGTTATTTATTCTTTTTTATGTTCTAAAATCAATATTTTTTAGATAAAATAATTGAAATAATGTTTTGAAAGAACCTTTCAATTATTCAAATACAATTTTTTATTTTAACATTATTAATTATTTTGTTAATAAATATATATAAAAACTGATTTTCCTTAGCAAATAAATTTGATTTACATTAATTATGAGAAATAAATTTTTTATCCATACTATATCATACAAATCATTTACCTTACGTATATAATGATTATCCGACCACAGACATAGCGCGGATATTCAACTAGTTACTACTATGTTATTGTGTTGTCTATATAACTTAATTTCAATTTTATTATTTATTTATTTTTATATTTTTCGTCAAAGAGAAACCAAAAGCGTTAATGCAAATTAGGCCAATTAGGTTGAATTGACTAAATATTTTTCATAAAAATTTATTTGCCAAATTGATACAAATACAAGTACATTTAGAGAAGTTACTCCAAGTTCATATAGTAAAATTTCCATTGGCTTGAATATTTCACAAACACATGCGCATATTTTTTTTCCTTATATACAAAATGGTACTTTGAATTTTGAAAATAGATTTTGAACTACTATTACACAAGAAAGCAACGATCGGTTATTGTTTGTGTCAATTTAAGATGTATAACAACTCATCAATTCTTCTAAATTGATCAAGTCTTCTAGAAATTAATCGCTCAACTTTTATTTTATTTTTTATTTTCCTGTTCCATAAATACCAAAGCTATTGGAATTGATGACATAACATATACTTTATGTTTCGATTTACCCCTTAAGATTTTTTTAAAAAATCTTAATTAAACACACATTTCGCAATCATATTAAAATTCATAAAAATTATCCAACCAAATCTAAAAAAGACGTACAACATGTCGCGAGGCGACGAGTCGAGGTGAAAATGGGGAAAAATGGGCAAAAATGACTAGATTCACTACCTAGTATTACGGTTACTAAGAAACCCTATGATCGGTCTATTCGAGTTCTAGATAAGGGGTTTATTATATGTAGGGAAGATTAAAAATCAACTTATCCCGTCTTGCCTAAGGCAAGTTACATTGCATATAATATTAATTCGATTTCGATTTTAAATGATGAAAGACTACTTATTTTTTAAACATTTACCCCTAGTCAAATGATTCGGGACTTGATCAATCAAATATCTCATCCTCACTTTGTAATGGATGGCTAAAATGATGAATGCAAGGATAGCAAAACGAGATAAAATTAAATGGACACAAATTGACAAATAGGCATAGGCAAACTTGGTAAGATGGATAAACAAACAAATAATGATAAAATTGGCAATTAGGCAAAAACTCAACAATTTATATAAACACGGGGAAAAGTTGACCATTTAGACAATCACGAGCAAAATCGACAATTTAGGCGATCATAGGCAAAAATCGACAATTAAGGCAAAAACAAGTAAAAATGGGCAATTTGGCCAATCATAGGCAAAAATAAATGAAAGTCGACAATCTAGGCAATCATAGGCAAAAATCTATGATTTAGGCAAAATAATATGAAAA